AACCTTTTACTTTGTTCTCATTGTTTATTTTATAAAAAAATACTACAACTTACTCTAATATAATTTGGTCAATAAAGTGTGTATGAATCCATTCCAATCCCCCCATGAATTTCCCTCTATCACTGTTTCACCCCTAGGGTAGGCCCTCTTATTTCATTTTATCTAATGAATTGCAGAATCGGAATTCGGAGTCGAAATATTTGAAATTGAATAACTACTTGTAATGCAAATCATTCATCATTTTTTTAATTCATTAAATTTTTTTTTCCGTGCTTGACTGCACCCTTCACGTGTCACATGTTACCATTCCAAACTACATTTTTTACATGTATAATGAGATACATGTATGTACTATTTTGCTTCTGTTTTATATCCTCAAAATCCTAGTCTAAGACAGTCATTGTAATTATTTCTATGAAGTGGAGAACATATTATATACTATTGGAAGGAGTAGTTAAACATATGCTAATAATAGTCCACATTATTTTCGGGGATGCTACTATACAGCAGCTTAAAGCCAAATACATCAGACCTCAACAGGACCCAAGGAAATGAAAACTTCAAAAACATTGAATTAAAGAAAAAAGGGGTCCATCTTGATTCTTGAAGGGTTGGGTGAATTCGTCAACAAAGTTAGCACAATGGTGGCCAAAATTTTCCGACGTGAAGCGCGTACTCGGTGTCGTCGGCGTCACGCAATCATCCTGTCCTATCCTCCCAAGTCTATATTTTCACACAAAGTAAACTTAATTTGCCTCCTTAATTTGTACTACTGTCTGACCCAAAAGGAAAAGAAAGAAAAAGGGCGCTTCTCCATGAAGGTTTCACACTACAAGCAATGCCAGCTTAATGATAATAAGCTATTCCTGTTAAAAGTAACTGGGCAAGGGAAATGACCCGATGCATATGAGTCGAGTTTCGTGGGGAGGAATGGCGCGTGTAGATGGTGGTGGAGGTGGTGGTGGAGGTGGTGGGGTGGTGCTATCGTCCGGACACTAAAACGTGTGGGAAACAGCTGTTGTTTGTTTAGTAAGTACGATGCATCTGGTCGCTGGCTGTGACTTTTGCCAAACCACATCCCTTTCTTATAGTACCACCATGTCATTCACTCCACAGTATACCATACTAATGCGTATGGGATATGTCCACCCATTACGAAATCTAAACTATTATCACTCTATCATTTCTCTTCTATATTCTCCTGTTATTATTATTGTTATTCTTAGTTAGATAAAAATGGAAAGGAACACGTCCTCGCGATAAATAAATAGAAAGCTAAGATAGAAAATAAAATTCAGTAATTTTTATTCTATCCATTATCATTGGAATTCCAGAACTCATAAATGGCAATAACTTCGTGGTACATGTACAAACAGGCAAGGAGTCCATTTAAGTACAAATAAATGAATCACTAACTATATTTGATTATGGTGTTAATGTGTTTTAATTAATTAACAAGTGATAAAGTATTAACAGGTGAACAATATTCCAAGCCTTGATCAACTTATCTCTTCTTCAAACCAATAGGTTCTTGAAGAGAATTTTATTATGAAATAAGCTTTAATATTGTTTTTAAATTTACACACTGATGCAAATACATTAGTGGATAAAAATATTATATAAATTAATTAATTAATTAATTCAATTGTTGACATATACCCTTATTTTCAAAGAATATGGTTCGAATTTATTTCTCTCTAAATAATAACAGTAAATAGTCTGCTTTTTTCTTTTCTCGCATTTTAATCAAGGTTGTGGACATTATAATTATAATTTATTTTCTGAGTATACACAGTCCCCTTGCTGCTTTGGAAGTGGTCCTGACTCCTGAGTGCTGAGTGGGAGACGCTTGACTTTTCTGTTTTCGGGCAAACGAGCGTGGTCCCAACTCGCAAACCCTAACGCCGCATGCAACAAGCCCAACGGTATTTGCTTCCAAGTTCCAATTTGGGCTTAAATTTTTTCTTTAACTAACATTTAATAACATATTTTAAATAAATAATAAATTGAAGAATAACCATATTTCCCTCTAAATATTTTGTATGTTAGGCAAACACAACAGAAAAATACATTTCAAAACACTCTTACCATCCCATCAAGGGATAGAACACATAAAACTAAGCCACACTGTTAACATTTATTAACATTACTGTGTAGTAAAAAATAAGTAAATTATTTTTTTCTCACTTAATTTTAAATTGCTTTGATTATTTAATCTTAAAAACTGTAAAAGTAGCAAGGGAAGATTAATTATAGTCCCTCACAAGCAGTAATTAATAGTGTAATACAAAGAAATAATATATTACTAAACTTTAGACACATCTCAAAAGTAAAGAGTAGATGGAGGATATTGGATAAAGGTGAGCAAAATCATATCAAATTAATTATTTATCTAAATTAAATATGAATTGGGTAAAACGGTTTGATTTTATTGATTCATTTGATCAATTGGTTTAAAATGTTAAATCTAATTAGTTTTTGATGGGTTTTCGATTTTAAAATTTTTGAGCCAAATCGATTAAAATTAAATTAATTTCTTTATATATTAATATATATAATATTATATATTTTATTTTTAAATTATATAAAATATAATATACATTTAATATTTTCACTTCTTCATTTTTAATTTTTTAATTTTTTTATGCATTTTAGAGATGTCAAATATTGGTATTGTGAATTCCATTTTTGTTGTTGAAGATTGACGAGTGAAGAGATTAGAAATACATTAGTCGCACTTTAATTGACATAAATATTAAATTTTTTGACTTTTTTACATAATTTTTCATTTTTAATCTTCTTTTAGTTTGTTGCTAAAATAAATTTATACTAATGACATATTTCTTCTTTCAATTATTAGATAGCTTATGTGAGTAAATGTGAAGAGTCAAGTCATAAAAGAAATTCAAGTTGATAATTTGTAGTAATTAATGTTCTTGTGTTAGATAGTTTTATTTTGTTGATTTTAATTTTATTATTTTTAATTTTTTATTATGTTAAATATTGAATGTTAATTTGATAATTTATATAAAAAGATGCAATTATGTGAGTAAAAAAAAAATATTATATTTTTTTATATTTAAATTATTTATATGTTTTATAACTGTAAATAAAATTTATAAATTTAAATATTATAATTTATCAACAAATAAAATTTAATTTATTAATCTAAAAATGAATATATTTTATCCAATATCTTTAGATACGACGGACAAATCATTAATCATCACTCCCAACGCAGCATACGGTTTGTCCTGGCTGTATCGTACTTTCCTACCCCTACGCACCTGCTGCTATTACTATTACTTTGTTTAACTTTTAATTATACTTTACTATTAGTAGTAAGTCAAGTGATGGGTTTCTTTCCAGTAATAGTAATTTTGGCGAATTACCAGTCGATAGTGATGAAATGATGATTAGTGAAGGAGAAAATAAATACGTAGTGATTACAAGTACCGGCAGTACGTGGCAGTTGCTGACAGGCAATGCGTGCTGTCGGATTGTAGCATTAGAAGGACAACGAGGCGCCAGCTGTGGCTGTATGAAAGAGGCTCAGATTCACTCAAAAAACGACCACCTCATCTCTCGTCATATCTCATGTCTGTTCACACCCTACGTACACTCTGGACACAAAATCTTGTCACTTACTTATTACCAGTAGCATTATTCGTATAGTATAAATTAATCACTGATGAGGTAATTTAATGAATGGAGAGAGAGCGTACCAAACAGATAAGATGAGAGGCAACGTGACTGATAACTTTGCAGCCTCCATCTAATTAAGCGCCGATCCGTACGAAACTCCACGTATTCCCAAGGATGATATGACCAGTCCCATCACCTTTGTACGGTTTCTTTCCAGGGATGATTAGTGATTTTTATTGGGTGGTAAACCGAAAAGATTTGAATCAAGGAAGGAAAGGCCCAAGGGCCCAACCCATGATAATTTAAATGGAGAAATGAGTCCAGGTGGATTCATCCTCCACTGCCATTGGTGGGATGACGCGAACGCGTAAAATTGATGCCAATGCAATAAGATTGGTCCACGTTCATCTTCTAAACCTGCAAATATTAATATTAAATATACCAGAATATGAAATATATAAAAGAGGAGAGAACAACGTCGTGGAGCGAAGGTGTCAAACCCAAGACGTTCCTTGGTATCCAAGGAAACAGAGTAGAATAGGCGTTTGATTTCTCTTTTATTCAAACTCAAGTGCTCCTCCCTCGTTTTTGTACATGATTTTTGTCTTTTTTTTTTAATTTTTAATCCTCTTCCTCTGTAAATATTGCTTAACTTTCGACTTTCCCTTTTCTAATTTTTGGGTAGTTATGGAGGGGGATTTGGAGACGATCGGTGAAATCAATTGGGATACCTTGTTTCTTGAGCTTGATTCCTCCGATTTTGCAAATATC